TTGCCAAGAATTGTTACAACAAAGAAATAAACTAAAACTAATTAGCCTACTCTTGCTATGTTTATATAAATAGAAGTTTTATTTAATTAGGTGTGTATAACCTGATGCATTTTATGTTGWATCTAATTTATTACTATACTTTATTCAAATGTTTTCTGAACCAATTACTACTGCTCTCACTCAGTTTCTGATGTCTACACACTAAATCTGAAATATCAGATGGTGCAAATAATTATAAAAATGTCTTCTTACACCAATTRCTGACATAAACAGATGACCAACAAAGTCTGTAAGCACATTAAAAGATTTTGTCTTTGTTCATGTTTTAATCTTGGTTAACATATTTCTATTTGATCTTTTAACACTTCCTTTAGGAGACATGCTCTAATCATTTTGTAGCAACACAGCAGAAAATCGGTGGCTTTATTAAAATGACTTGTTAGCATGAAACAATTGTCCAATTTTTTTAATGAGAGCTGGTAAAAAATTAACACTTTTCAGAATAACAGTAGGGTAATTTACTGAAATCACTCRGTCTTTGGTTTTCAAGTAAATACAGTGGGAGTAAAAAAAGGCTAAATTTTAATGGTAATATATTCTGTTGGAATGACTGCAGTGAAACAGGAATCAGAGTGAAGGAGTCAGAAGAGAATCAGATGTCTGAGCTTGGGCTGATCTTAAAGAGAAAATTCAACTACTTTTTTTTCCTTCTCGACCCTCCAACATCCTCTCCATCTATTCTTTTTATACTCATTCTCTGGTTTATGTTTCCTTAGACTTCCTTTCCTCTAATCCACTGAGGCCAAGGCTAACACAGAGGCTAATGAGATTAGGAGCAGCTTTCTTAGCTCCTCTTTATGCCCCACGCTGCTTATCATTTGTTACTGACTCCTGTTTGTGACTGTGAAGGATGATTATAGTCTGCTTTGAGACCAGCCACTTCCCACATGACTTTAAAAAAATAAACATATTGCATAAAAAGTAAATACTTTTGTGTTTGATTGATTATTTCTTTGTCGCAGCAATGCTTCCTGGGTTAAACTTTATGCTGTTGGAAAGCCTGTTTACTTCCCTTTAAATGGTGCAGCATTAGTTTAAAAAAAGCATTTGTGTGTTGGTCTAATGAGAACTTGCCAATGCAATTTTTACACCTCTCTTTCCTCTTTATATCCTTACATCATAAGGGAACACTTCATTTTGTTGAACTCGGTACACTGACAAAGACATTCAGATTCAGAGGAGGAGCCAAGCTGTTGTGGCTGTGTATGGTTCTTCCACGTGCTACTGAGGYTCYGGTTTATTAAATGGATAAATTGCCAGTGTGTCTTGTTTTATTCAGACTTCAGTAATATAATCCGATAAACACCAAACAAGAGGCAATGGCAGAAAAAGCTGTTTGGCAGGGGAGATTATTGGGAAGTTTTTCATGGATGAAACCAACATAAATGCCTTTTCCTTGCAAGTTTGTCAWCCTTTAAGGAGAAATAAACCAGCTTTCCAATGTTTTAAGATTCATTACCAAGAAGTGTTGTTACAACAAAGGAGTAACCAARTTTACCTTTATTTTGTCAAGTTCACTTGGTGTTGATGGAAGAAATTACAGCTCAACAAAAACTGGAATATTTTACATGCAAGTCTCACCAAGTTTTATGATTCAACAGTAGAACTTTAAAMTGTTTTGTTTGTCAATACTTTTAGTATTAAGTAGTTTAATAGTAATTTTTGAAAAGTTTCTTCAACATTAACACATTTTATGCTTGATAAAATCTTTAATAAATACCATTAGCTTAAAGCAGGGGTGCCCAAACATTTTCCCTGAAAGGGCCAAAATTAAAATCAATCTGAGGGCCGCGGGCCAAATGCAATAATATAAAAACACAAAATGCAAATATTTCAAGTAAAGTTGTATTTTTTATGATTAAGCTAGCAGCCAGTGCAGTTGCCCACATTTTCTTGTTTGTTTTTTTTTTTCAGCCCATGGACATGAAGAAAATTCAACGTATGCTCGGGCAGAAAAGGCTCATGGGACTTTTCATAATTTAAAATTTGAGTATATATGGTCTTATAAGATGTGCAAATCTAGATATGGACTTCAATCTCATAAATATCTCTTGAAGTTACTTGTATTTTAAGTTTAATCTTAACAAAATTCAAAGATAAAGTGAGTACCATAAGTTGAGACTAGCTGACTACAGCTCCTTGTACCTATAGTTGGACCAATGTTTGAAAAGACTAAGTACAAATATAGTATTTCTACATAAGACAGACAATTACAACCTAGTAACCAGGATAACTGCTGGTGGGCCAAATCAAATGGCTTGGCTGACCAAATTTGGCCCACGGGCCCCACTTTGGGCACCTCTGGTTCAAAGTTTTTGAACACGTACTTTTTTTGCAAGCTCTTATGTTTTCATTCTGAATCCACAACGCTTTGCNTTAAAGCAGGGGTGCCCAAACATTTTCCCTGAAAGGGCCAAAATTAAAATCAATCTGAGGGCCGCGGGCCAAATGCAATAATATAAAAACACAAAATGCAAATATTTCAAGTAAAGTTGTATTTTTTATGATTAAGCTAGCAGCCAGTGCAGTTGCCCACATTTTCTTGTTTGTTTTTTTTTTTCAGCCCATGGACATGAAGAAAATTCAACGTATGCTCGGGCAGAAAAGGCTCATGGGACTTTTCATAATTTAAAATTTGAGTATATATGGTCTTATAAGATGTGCAAATCTAGATATGGACTTCAATCTCATAAATATCTCTTGAAGTTACTTGTATTTTAAGTTTAATCTTAACAAAATTCAAAGATAAAGTGAGTACCATAAGTTGAGACTAGCTGACTACAGCTCCTTGTACCTATAGTTGGACCAATGTTTGAAAAGACTAAGTACAAATATAGTATTTCTACATAAGACAGACAATTACAACCTAGTAACCAGGATAACTGCTGGTGGGCCAAATCAAATGGCTTGGCTGACCAAATTTGGCCCACGGGCCCCACTTTGGGCACCTCTGGTTCAAAGTTTTTGAACACGTACTTTTTTTGCAAGCTCTTATGTTTTCATTCTGAATCCACAACGCTTTGCGCAGTCCAGAGTGTTCACAACTTTAATGACACATTTAATTGAGAATCTGACCTTTTATAGCTTATTTAATACGTGAAATTTTGTGTTTAAGGTTAAATATTGTTTTCATTCCTTTTGGAAGGGACATCCTGCTGTTTCTGTTTTGTTTTCTATTTTTTCTACACTTCAGTAACCAAGGAGGGAGTGGAGAAGTTTGGTGAAGGCACCCGACTTCCTGTATTTGACACAGTAATTAAAAACAAAACAAAACATTTAATCTAAACAGTAAAGTGCAGCAGGTTTTTTTTTTTGTTCGAAAAGTTTAAAAGCTAGTCAGGAAATGATGACCTGTGCCAGATTTTTTGTATTATATGTGCTGCTTACAATGAAACTGCCCTAAACATTAATTTTGTCATTTCACATAGGAGATTGCTAACATGTGGCTATTGTGATAACTGCAAAATGCCTCAGCTATGATTTGAAACTGCAGGGGTGGTTAAATGAAATAAGAGAGAGAGGGGGAAAAGCATTATTGAGGGGAGAAATAAAGAGCCTAAACACAGTTTGTCATGGCACATAATGTGCTGGCAGCCAGTTTCAGATGGAGTCACGGTGACTGACAGGTGGTGAGGCATGTCAGGTCCCCGACACTGCAGCTGCATCGCACATCATGGTCTATTAGATCGTTTTAAACATTAGCATCCATGTCCCTGYGAGCCTATTGGTGTGTATGTGGGCCTGAATTAACGTTGGAAATTTAGTTTTAAATTTAGAAGTTCAGGAGCGACACGATGGACAGTTTCTGCTGAATATTTGTCTGAAATAATGAGATGCAGTTAAAAAAAACTGCAATTATGGCAACAAGACAAAACATGACTGAGATGACGCAGAGGAACAACAAGAGAGTAGCTCTCCATGTTTGTCATGATCCCTCCGTTCTATATTTGTTCTGATCGTCACTTGGATTATTTACCCACCATGACGGTTACACAAACCAACAAATATGTGTGCTTAACTCCTACTCTATCCCGCTCTCCCTGAGAATGTCTTCCAGGCATTTCCATGGGGTCTGACTGAGTGCCACTGCGATGAGGAGGGAAATGAACAAGGCTTTACAAGCTGAGCCCACCCGAGGCTTTAATTAGAATTAAATCAGTGGAATGAGCTTTGGCTACCAGCGGGTCACATCAACCTAGCCCTATGAAGCAAACAGGGTCCACCTACTGCAGCAAATTAACTTTCATTTTTTTCCTTTTATGCACTCAAAGACACGTAGGCACGTCCACTAAGAAAAAATGAGCAGATCAATACAAAACATCATCGTCCATTCCCACATTCATTACAGACCTTATAACAACCAATTATATCCTCTGCATGCGCAAAAATCCTCAACGGAAACAACATTTTTTCTCCCCCATTTCCCTCTGTTGTGACTGTAATAAGCTGTGATCGACTGCGAGGGGGCAAAACGTAAAGCCACTTCCCACGCAGGAACAACTAACTGGTCTTCATTAGAGAGAAAACCCCTCAACCACAGATCAGTTACTAGAGTAGAGACAAATGGGCATACACCTTCTTCGTGTGCAGTTTTCCCCATCTGTGTGCAGGAGGCAGCGAGATGACGCACGGCGCGGGGGCATGTGAGAAGCAGATGCTCCCATTAATTAGATGTAATGATCAAACAAGTAATAACGAAGAGGGTTGACTGAGGGAAGGGTTGATTTATCTCCGAGTGGCGACTAATTAATGCAAAAAAAAGGCGTTGTGGTATGAAGCCAAGCTGGGGAGCTTACAGTGAGTCACTCCTGCCAGTTAACTCGTGCAGGACCTTTGGGCACTCGCCACTCACTTCATGTCCTCCTGCTTCGACACAAACTCTTAAAAATCTTTGACAGGAGCTAAAACTAAAAACGACTGTTCTCGCTGTCTAAATGTACCTTCTGTTTCCGCCTCTCCTTCCTCTTGTCCTCTGTGTCCTGCAGCATCTTTTCCCTCCACAGGTCAAAGAAGTACGATGGGTCCGTGTAGAACTTTAGTCCCTCCTTACCGTCATCTCTGCAGACAAACAAAGAAAAAAAAAAGAACAGATTCGTTACCACAATAAACTATTTGTAATGCTTACGTTTAGTTGTCTTTTCTTCAACATTTTTCAGTGTAAAAATGTTTTCCACAAATGCCATATTTCCCTATAACATGCAAAAACTGTCCACCTAACCAAGTTTTAAAAC